TATTCTGCAAATGATGATAAAGATTTACTTGCTGAATGACATGCGTACTGAGAAACTGGGTGAACTTGAGACAATCAACCCAGCTGCTTCCATATTATCTGAAATCTGTGACGATTTGAATGAATGTTCTCGAGCTATCGCTAAGCGCCAAATTCCCGACATAGAACCAACCAAGAAGGTAAAAAAATTATCGGAAGCCCGATAATATCCTCATTATTTTTTGTTACTCAACAGCTGATTAGTCAAGCTATTGTCACAGCCGCTCGCGAGTTGCATGATGAGACATGTTCGGATGAGGAATTCACCCTCACCATCTCTTCCATTCACGTGGCTTACGATCGCATCGAGAAACGTTTGGCGAACTTCTGCCAACTAGTACAGGCTCAACCAGATATTGTAACCAGCCTTCGGGAAGTTATTCCTCCAAACGAAACGGAGATGGTAAGCCTATTGCTTGTTTTGAAAAGTAATCCTTCAATCAAAAATTTCATGAGATTAAAATTAACCTTGTTATTTTTAGCCTTTCACGCTTTGAGAGCTTTATGCACATAATTCTGAATTATGAATGAAAAAAGTTCCGTAGTAAGATTGACATGATCTAATAATACCTTCAAGGTCCTTGATGCCGTCGCCCTAGAGATTTGCTTGTCCAAACTTGAACCTGGTGCTGAAGAGTTTGACGATCCACAGACTCGCTTAGTGTGGTGTAACAGAGTGTTGAGTATCAGAACAAGTGCTGAGAACATGATCAGTAATCTTTCACAGTATGGCCGTAAAGTAAACCACATTCTACTTAATTGCAGGTATTGCACTTTTTAAAATTCTAGATCGACTAATCACATTTCAGTTTTTTTCGATGGAATTCGCTTTGCTTTTGGCTCTTAACCTCTTACCTGAAGTACATTCAAAAGAAATAATAACCGCAGTCAAGATTACTTTTTAGAGCTTGAACCTAAACTTAATAGGTAAGGATATTATTGTATTTGATGTCATTACTTTTTTTCTTTTCGCGAACTTTCTGTGTCAGGTCAACTTGGCAGAGAGTAAGTGCTGTGCGATTGTTTATTGAACATACCTGCCCTGGCACAGTAGCATGCCACCCAGCCGATGTGAAGAATGTTTTCAAACTGTGGAAGGTGGGTCGAAATATCTATGCTCGTATGTGAATAGCTTAAGAGTGTGTTGTGGTTCTTAGTGCTTTGACTTAAGATTGAAAATTAGCGCTGCTATGTTCAAATAAATATTCAATTTACAAAACAATCTTTCTAACAGGCATTAGGTGATGAGACAGACTTCACTAAACCGCAAACAATGCTAGTTATTGAAAAGTTTCTTGTGGATTGCAGTGAAGCTGTTAGTAAACGTTATACCAGGTAAGAAGATGGCAGTAAAAATGTTAGGATAGTTGGTCATAAATTGTACCTTTGTCATTGTGCTTTTACAAAGGCAGTAGATGTTTTTCAAAATCTTTTTTGATAATGTTCTTGCCCTCGATTCGCCTCGATGAGAATGAACCTCTCCTTCCAATGTTCATCGTGCTTTCGTGCGTGCGTGTAAAGACTTACACAGATAGTTTTCGACGCAGCCCTAAAGCAGCATTTCTTCTATCCCACAGTTATGGTGTGAACACCTGTCCTGTGTGTCTGGATGGTCTGGCTCACAAGGATCCTGTTAAAATGCCCTGTGGTCATGTTGTTTGCCATGTTTGCGTCACTAACTGGATTGAAAGGGAGAGAACATGTCCGTACTGCAAGGGAGACGTACCGGATGATTTCAAGATCTTACCCACCAGATTAATAAGGTATAACGTATTTATTAAAGCCCAGGTAGCCCAAGCTCGCACAGGGAGCCATCGTAAATACGTATATTTTGTGCAATAGGCCCTATATAATAGTACTATTTGTGGAAATAACGGTTACCTATGTTTGAAAGCGCTTTAATTCAATTGTTCTAAAACCAAAACTAAAGCAATCACACAACAGCCAATCAGAAAAAAGTGCTCTAAGGAATTAATGAAGAAAACACAGATGCGCTAGAAGTCATCTCGCTAACAGGTTAGTTTCCACCACAAGTCTACGGGTTGGTTCGCTCACAACTCATCTCGCCTTTTTCGCTTCACGTCATCTTGCCTACGAATCGATACGCCCCCAGGTCAGCTCGCCTACGGAATAGTTTCACCTACAATTCATATCGCCTATGGATCGGTTCGCCCCCAAGTCAACTGGCCTACAGATCAGTCTCGCCCACATGGAAAAAAACATATTCAAGGGGTAAACGCGCGCGACCAAGTCGGGAGAATGGAGCTAATTTCTAGATCTATCATAAATCGAAATCAGGCTATTCCATTGTACTTTCAACACTTAATTGAGAAGTTCAAAAGAATTTTGAACTGGAGCATAGTTCTAAGTTCCTCGCATATGGCGTTATGGGTGAGATCGATAATAGACTTGACGAGAATTAAAAGAAAAGTTGTGCTTTCCTCTTTGTAAATTTATCTTCATTTGCTATACACTGTAATAATGACATAAAAGTCTTTGGAGATAGATATAACCGCTTTGCATAATGTTATTCCCTTATTTAAGAACCATTCATTAACTGAGTTGGGTGTGCAATTGTATTTACAGGAAAGCTGTTCGAGAACACTTCGACTTCCGTCGTCGGTGCAACTCCTTCTTCATGGAGCTTGTCTCACTGTTCTGTTTTGGCAAAAAGGACGATGAGGGTGTTATGGATCCTGAACTGTTTGAAATGTTCATGAGTTATGTAATAGAAGCCAGTTCAAAGACTAAGGATTTTTCTCCTTTTCCGGAACATGGCATTGATGCAACACCTGTGGTCAGATCGTTTCTTCTACAACAACTCCTGAGAGCAGGGTATGTACAGCTGTTAATGGAGGTAATACGTTTTTGATTTGTGGGGCTTAAGGTTGCAAAACCAATGCTCTGCTCTCCGATCGTAGGTTGATAAATTCCTTAGAATTAGGCGCCAGCCGAAAATCACCAATCTCTCCTTCGGTTTTTATTTACCTCAGGGTTGGAAACCTTTTGTCTTTAGAGCAATTATTTTCATTATTTGTATCAATCAAATTCTTTATTTTCCTACTATGAATGTTATATCAGGTCATAGTCTCTTTCTACGATCGTGATTTCCCTTTTCTTTATCTTTGCTCATTTTTATCACTATTTTTTTTTCAGTGACAAGGAAGTAAAAGAGCATTTGTCACACTACTTGGCCAGCGCTCGAGAACTGAGACCAGAAGCAGGTCATTTGTTACAAGTCTGTCAACTTTTTGTGCACTGTTGCGAGGTGAGCTATGGAATTACTAGTTATTTGAAATACGCAGTACTACTGTTGTTTACGGAACAGGCTCTTTATTCAGCACTCGCCTTTGATCTAGTTCTGACCCGTAAGAGATTCAGTACTCTATTTATCCTTTAGTTATTTCCTTTTTGTTTTGGCGATTTATCATCACAAGGAATCATATTGATAAACCTAACTTAATTATGAAAATGCTTTCTTTGTCGTGAATAGCTATACTGTACAAATACCTTTCTCTTGAAATGACAATCTTTTCAAAGATAGCGTGATACTCTGTCCATTACTGAACACAAAAGATAATCTGAATAATTTTCTCACTACTTTGTCGTTCACTCTGTTTGCAGGACTCCCTGATCAGCTTGTATTCTAAAGCCTCGGACAATTTGCTTGTTATGATTAAACTTGCTCAGCAACTTTGCGATGAATGTACTCCTTTGCTTACCTCCAACTCGCCACAGCAACACACTCGAGACCTCGATGTAGATGTTTTAGAAGCCGTTGCTAAAGCGCGCTATGCTTTAGCATTAGTTGCTAAGTTTATGTACGAAAGTGTCACAGAAAAAGACGGTCCGTGGAATGATCTGGTTGTACAAAACGAATTACAAAGCCTTTTTGAAGGAGCAAGGAGAATGTGCTACAAGAGTCTGAGCCAGATTCCCCGATTGTACCTTCTGAGACAGCTGGCGAGGAGGTTTGGTGTGGAGTCGATCAATATCTTGTGTGATAAAAAGGAGTCTGAGTGGATTTTGCCTCCAGAGAGTAGAGACAAACAGGTAAAATGCGTGAAGAAGTAGATTAGGTCAATACCTTCGCCTCTTATTTCAGTTATAAATCTCTTTTTTAAATTACAAGCTTCTTTTCTCTTTTAACCCTTTGTAGTAAACTTAATGCCCTTCATTTATTTTCCCTTTTTGTCTTCTCCAGCAAGGAGATATTGTTCCTGATAGGTTTATTATATACGGAGAGGAGTACAAGAAAATCAGAGAAGCTATGGCAGAGACTGTGCTAAGTGGTACACCGAAGGAGTTGAATAGCGCGCTCCAGGTACGAAACCGTAAGAGACAGCCTATAGCTGTTTACATCCACACTGTTGATCGCTTTAGTCTCAAACTCGAAATAGTTTTGATTTTTTCGTTGTCTTAAACGAGGCCGTGTAGTTAAAACTTAATGGTTGGTTTTCGATCGCATTTTTCTACCACGAGGCATACTCTCAGAATATGATAATAAAATACTAGAAAAGCGAAATGTAATGCTGCGAAGAAAACGAAAACTACTCAACTACGTGACAGAGAAAGGCAGTTTCCAAAGCGCGTGCATCGAGTTGTTTTAAAAGATATTATAGTGTAGAAGTAAATGCTGTCTTTTATTGGCGATGAAATTTATCTTTCCTGTATTGTTTGTAGAGCATTGTCTTGCCACCTGTCGTGAGGGATGTCATGATTTTGTTGTCAGAATATCGTGAAGTGACCACTTGCTATGGTTTCACCTCCACTCAACGACAACTCTCCCCAAGAGTAAGAAACTAACAGTCTTTTTTATGTAACCGTGATACATGCTTAGCTGACTCTAATAAACCACTGAAAGGAGGTCTGTTGCTATTCGTAAAGGTGCATTTATGATGTCAATAAGCTGACCAAACATCAACATACCTTCATATCGTATTACACAGGTAGTTCACAGAGTCATACACGTCGATAAACAGAATATTATTGGCAAGCCTGATTTTGTTAGGAAAGAAGTGTATATACATGTAAACAACAAGAAAATGAATACATGTGCTGTGTCCTTTCTTTCGATGAAGGTTAAAATCTCAGTACTTGATCAAGAAACAGGGGAAAATCGTGATTGGTTTTCCTCGTTGTAGGGTTTTTAGCTGCAGTTTTAGATTTTTCACCTCGATGAGATCAAGCGGTAGTCCCTGATAGCTTATTAAATGCTTTGCTTTTTCAGGCTCACCAGTGTTTTCAAGAATTTATAAGTGAAGGTGCTCAGCTTTCTGCTAGGGTGAGTTAAAACGGAGCATGTTATTTCTGAGTGACTTCTGCAATTTTACCTTTTCATGTGGACTCTTTAACTCCCCTTGGTCACCAGTTTCTCCGCTTTAACAACTTTTGATTTCCGCAGGTCCAACAATTCGCCATTCAGCTTCTAAACAACACCCAAGGTGATGCAGGGTTTCCTGGCGTCCGAGTAGCCCCCGGTCGATCAGCTTCGGACCAAAGTTTGGCGGAAATTGTTGTTCATACCACTGCTGTGCTACAGTGCACAAATCAAATGACTATTTGCGAGCCATTGCGTCAACTTATGGACAATCCTGTAGCTTTGATGGTACGCTTAAGATTAATAAGAAAGCCAAACTAAGCCTTGCTTGTATTCACTAAATGCTAGTAGTTGCTAAATTGATAATAGTTTTACGAAGTGATTTCCTTTTGATAGAGTTTCTTTCGTTTGTATCTCAGAATGCCTATTTACCCACAATGCCAGACGACAACCTTGAGGAAGCAATAGCGGGAATGCGTGAGACTGGGAGCTGGTATCGTAAGTAGCTAAAGATATTTAAAACAATTTAATTTTGGTTAGATGGTGGAATGTAAGTTTTTATGTCAACGGGAGACATACTTATCTTTTCGCAGAATGCCCAAAAGGACATCCCTACTACATCGGAGATGTAAGTATCACCTTTTAACACAAGAGTGGCCTCTGCTTGCGTAATTCACCTTAAATCATTGTAGACAGTATCATTTGGTAAGGAACGAAATTTTAACCAAGGAAACGTGAGCACGTTGGTCTAAGGAACTAGTCATAGATAGGTGGCGATAAACATTGATGATATAGTACCCCACCTATACTTTAATATCAAGTTTTTTCCACTGAAAAGACTGTGGGCAAGGAAATTTCGCCGCTTAGTGTATTCAAAACTCAAGTAGACATTGCAGCAATCGCGTCTTCTATCCCGTATGGCTGGTACTGAGTATCGTCCTCAGATTGTTATTTTTCTATTTTTACAGTGTGGTCGCCCCGTCGAGGTGAAGGTTTGCCCTGAGTGCAAGGTCCAAATAGGGGGAGCTGGGTATCGTCTCTCACAAGGAAATACTGCGGCTCAGAGGTATGGAATAGCGCTTTATTTGATTACATTGAACGTTCCGTTACATGGGTAAATACATTAAGTACTGTATGCCCTATAGAGCGTTGGTTTGAAAACGTTTTCGCAACTTCCCAGACACTAATGGTTTTTGACGATTTCTTTAATGGTACCCAAATTATGCTTAACTTACTCGTGTAACCTCTGATGGCTTAGGTGTACATGATTAATCTCATTTGGTGTTGGATGAGTTGTTTAATCCATTTCTTTTGCTTATTGGTGACCGTTTACTTTCCCGGAAGTAATTTTAATTGAGAATTTTTTACTTAATACATTAAATGACCCCGAAGTTTAAAAATATAAACTTTGATTGTGTTATCTTTTGTCTCCAGGGGGGATCGAACAATGACGGGCCACGTGCTTGGCCATGCTAATACCAGGTCCAGAAGTCTTGCTCCTGAAAGGAACTTGTCACCTGTTCTTGTCGGCATTACACGGATTCTTATGCACTGTGCCATGATTGAAGGAGCCCACCGGCATCCACAGGTGAGCTGGTCCCTTATCCCTTCGACTATATCTTGAAAAGGGTTAATTATTTCTTGTTCAATAAGTAACCCCTCTCATATAGAAAAAACTAGTAGAGGTGAAAATGTGAATCTAGAACTTGTCAGTATGTTACTCTGGGAGTCATCACAACCCCTTCTCTTCCTTTGGTTCATTCTTCAGGTATCAGGAATTATCTGAGAAGACTAAAGGAAGTTGTATCTTTTCTTAGTGTCCTTCACCTAATTTGTCATTGTTTTTGAAGATATGGTTGTTCTTGCTTTTGTGCTCCTTCTGCTTTTGACCTCAGTTTTGTTGTGATCATAAATGGATCACTCAGAGGGATTATGTAGGAGGTATTAAACTTTAAATTAGTCGGAGAAATGTTTAGAGAAGGTGTCTTGGTGCTTTATGTACTTAGATAAAACGGCAATTATATATACTTAAACCAAAAAAGTATGAATTAAGTTCTGCCTTTCTATACATTTGATGGCCCGCGAATTAAATTATTAAGTAAGCATTAACGAATGCTTATGTGGGTAAGTTTTAAAACACCTGTAAAACTTCGTCTTGATTATTTTACTTTGTCTAGAATATTTCCAACCTCATCAATCCGACAATTCCACCAGCGGCATTGACACGTTTTTTGTGGGATCACCTGCGGTTGGACTTTGAAGTTCTCGCCAAAAGCCTGGGGAGGAGTGTGGACGACACGGTGCTTTGTATCCACATGGTCCTTGCACAGATGACCGCGCATGTCAATAGTGGTAAGCTTTTAAGAATTCTCGATACCATAGCGCTTCTCGTTTTCGAAGAATGACGAAAAAAACTCGGAAATTTGCCAATCGTAATTAAAGTCCCTTTGCTTTTCGCACCAGTCCTCATAATAGGACTTTTCCGCATAAATATCAAATGAATAGGAAAAATTACAAAGTGCATATCATGGCCCTAATACGGTAGGAAAGTTTCTTCTGTTACATTTTAGATCCTACACATTTTTAGTTATGTATGGTCAAACGTATGTTTGTGCCATGGGTTCAAATATTTGATCTTATTAGACGGATAGATAGAAACCCATTGAAGCAGTTTCATTTGCAATCTAATGAGATTTGAAACGTTTTAGCGCAACAGGCCGCAGACTTTGCTTATGACATGAGATCGAAGGAGTCTCGGAGAGCATGGGAAGCAGCTTTCAGTGCCACTGTTGTGACTCCATTGTTAACGGTATGTCAGATTTTTGTAATAGTTCAGGTTTTACTTTGTTATCTGTCGAGTCACCGATTTTCTTTTCCTATCTTTTAGAACCTTGAAGAGAAAATTCAACGGTGCTTACAAATGTTGGTTAGTGACAAGAGGCTCGGTGAGTTCATTTCCTCATGAAACAATAACAATATGTGACCTTGGACGTTGGTACCCTTCCAGTAAGAAAAGCCATCAACTCGTTTAATTATGGGCTTAAAGTACTGGCAATTTAGGACTAGATATTTTTAGGATATTTAGAGACAAACAGGATTTTTAGAAAATTTGAGGATTTTTAGAACATATAAGGATATTTAGATGAAAATGTTTGGAAACATAGAGTCGATAAATTAAAAAGAATTCACGTGGTTCGTAGAACATACTCTGCTAACTGTTTGATGTCATCGTTATTGTTTGTTTGAAAGTGAAATATGGAAGGAGACGAACCACTTACGTTGTTCTGTAAATAAATGATCATTTTAAATCAATTTGAAGGTGCTTCCATGCAATTTCACCACAGGAATCTCGTGGTTTTGTATGTGATTATTTGGGGAAAAATTTAGATGAATCGGTATTTAAGGAAAAAAATTGCGGGATAAAATTAAAAGCTACGTTCCTTTTTTTGGAGAATTTCTTTACTGGTTTTTAGGCCATTTTCCGGGATTTTTATACTTAAGGCAAGAGATTATAAGCTGCTGAGAGTTTATAATCTCTTGCTGTAGGCCTATGCCAGTTGTTACAACTCATTTTCAATAAAATTATTGTGAACCAGATGGAGAATCGACAAGTCCGTGTTTAGAGGGTGGAAATACAATTCTCGCTTTTTTTTTTTCAAGAAAAAATATCAAATTGATGGCCCTTGATTGTTTCCACAGGTAACAATCCCCTACTGCGTCAGCTGTTTGAGATAGACGTCTCTACTGAAGCTCTGACTGGTGGTATCCCTCCCACTTGCCCTGCCCTATGGAGATACCGGACTCAAGTGACTCTTGATCACTTTGCGCACACATTTCAACAAGAGGTATTTTCCACTGATCCTGAGAGGAACAAAGTATTAGCGGAGTTTTTACGGCAGGTAAACCATATTAAACTACTTTCACTAACCAATTTTTACATCCGTTTCGTATGTTTGCTTTCAGAGAACCATTTTTGCTTTTGAAGTTCGTAATTCGTTGTAAAGTGTGCTTTTAACTGAGACTATGTTGAACTGAAAAATTTCTTAAAACATAAGGTACGAGCTATTGGGTAATGAGCAGCACCAACGGATGATGATGATGGACCGATAGATGTCATCCATCAATTGTCAGTCCTTTTGCCGTTTACATTTATTTGTTGTTTATCTATAGGAACACAAACTCCGCGCTCTCCGTTTTCTGCCCGACATTATAAAACTACAGCGTCTTCTGATGGACAAATTCCATCGTCGAATTGACAGGACTGAAGCACAGCGCATGAATATAAGAGAATTCCTGCGGAATATTCCTTCAAGTAAGTTGACTGTCGAGTGATTTTTTCCTTAATTTTTTCTGTTATATCAAATCCCTTGACTTTTTGTCTTCCTTCACAGAAACAGAGAAAGATGAACTTGCGTCACTGATAGCGAGCTTTAACGTGGCATGGAACCTTGTGCGGCTTAGTCTTGATCAGCAAGGTATGCCTAGATTGGCAGCATTTGTAAACGAGTATTCACGAATGAAGCAGGTCGTAAACCTATTAGATTTTACGGTATTATCAAGTTATTAAACGGCACAAACCAAACATGCATAAGGTACTCAGGACATAATTTTACCCGCCTTTTACAAACGATTCACTAAGTTCAAGTTCATTTTCTTTCTCATTCCTTCCCCCCCCCTCCTCCCCCCTCGTCCGCACAGCGTAGAGCCACGGGGTGTATAGAGGAGCAAAAGAAAGGTTAAAAGTGCTACTGTCCCAGACCACTGACTATGATTGTATCTACATATGTAGTATATCTCTTCTCAACCATTGATTGTCCTAAACAGGGCGTCTACGTCCTCCAAAGGACTTGTGTGACCAGCCCATGGATAATTCACGTCCACTTGCTGTACTCCTGCCAAGTACCTCCGGCATGGGTATCTGTTCCACGGCTCTGGTATTTTTCCTCACCATGCTTCACAACGAGTTCAACGAAAGATATCAAAACTTGATGGGCGGTAAAGTCAAGTAAGTGCGATGACGGAACCTTTTCCCCATGCCACCCACCCTAAGAGTTACTTTCCTAGTAGTACCGTAAATGACCTCACAACGCTTTCAGTCCTATTCTAAGTTTCAGTGAGACGATATGCTGCGTCGACAATGAAGTAAATTTCCTTTTGTAGCTTCAAACATCGCTCCCGCTCTATATTGCCAATGTGCTGAACGTACAACGATTAATTTGCCAATTTTAACGTGTTAACAATTTCTTTCTACAATGTCATTTGGCAATTATTTTTTCATCTCGCGCTTTGAAGACTAGGAGCTGACATTTCACGTTTTAAGAAAAATTATGAATACGAATATTCTATGATCACAACTGATCGGCAATCAACATCATGTTTTCCGTAAACTAGCCATAAGTAGATATAGACCCGAAATAAGAATAACTGATTTTAATGATAAACCTCTTTGTGTAGCCTTTGGGTATCCTTGCAACCACTTGAACTTTATTTCAAATGTGTGATGTCATTGTTCCCTGTCATTACTAGAGACCTGTCCCACATACAGCTGCAAGACGTGACAAGGTCACATCTGATTTCATACGACACCGAACGAGATCTTCTACCCCTTGTCTTGGCGCAGTGTAATTACTCTCTAGAGGTGGGTCGGGGAACATTGGTTCAGTACAACTGGGAAGCCCTTGAAAGACAGCTGATTGACAGGTTCATAAGGGGAAGACCACTTATTGATTTCAAGGTAAGAAGTAGCTTCAAATATACATAATGATGTCCAACGTTTGTAAAATATTTCCTGAAATTTCAGTCCAAAGTCTTTACCAGAGTTATTTACTCACTCCTAAAGGAGAGGTTTTGAGCATTATATCGTATTTATTTCATAGGACGAGAGGTTTGCATTCAGCAAAGACGCCCAGTTAGACTCGGTTTTCACTTCCGTGAAAAACAAGGTCCGGCCACAGGTAAAACATTTCGTTTTATGTGCTCGATTCCTATTCAATATGTGACCCACCAGCTCCTTCTGGAGTTGCCAATGATTAGCAAGAAAACAATGGTAGTGAGAGAAGTTACTATGATGAAGATAATGATGATGCTATTAGTAATAATTGTTGTACCAATAATGGTGATACTTATTATGACAATATTGGTGATAGAAACGACATTAATAATAACATACAATGGGTTTGGAACTGAAAATGACTGTGTTGATATTGTATACATAAGTGGCACATATTTTCCTTGGCAACACCATGGCGATTCTTTCAAGGAAGTAGCCGGACAGGTTTTCAGATCTTATTTACAGGATGGATATTAAAAACGTTACCGGTCCCGGGTGACAGTCGCGTAATTGCACATGTAGATGGTTAATTGTCATATTTAGATTTTTGTGATCGTGTAGTAAAGTGTATATTTTCGAGGACTCAAAAAAATTGTTCGTCTTGTTAGGTTCCATTGAGTTCAGCAGTAAGCAGTCAAATTCTAGGCGAGTTTCGCTCACTGACAGACGTCTGTGACGTGCTGACGTCGCTCGACATTGCAATCGGTTTCCTTTCCTCGACCGGTGGATCACCTGAAAAGCCACTAAATGACTACCTTCAACATGTACTACGCATGCCTCAACAAAATAGTCTTCGCAGTCTCAAGGTAAGCATTCAATTTAACCGTGCAAATTGAACTGTTTTGATGGATAGATGTTTACCCACAGACCTTTTAGACCCAATGGGTAACGAAAAGTTATGTACCTTGCGCTATTTTTCTTGCCACGAGTTTTACCTTACAAAAAGCGAGAGAATAAGAACGATAAAACTTTAAAACAAGAAAAGGTAGTGTAGAGAGTGTGGAACTCTTGTAAAAATACGGAAATGTGCAAATGTCTCATTTTGTGTCAGGAATCGAAAATTGTCTTCCAAATTGAAAATATCTTAAATATTGTAAATAGAGTAAACGTGTACAGACCTAGAAATAGATAACTGCCCATAGCTATTTCTAACGGATTTTATAGTCTATTAGTTTTGCAGACAGTCTGTTACTATATAAAAGTCGACGCGATCACCTTTTCATGTCAGTACATTACGCTCTAATTAAATTATACCTAATAAGAACAGCTTGTTTTCTGCTCTGCTTCTGTTTAGGCACAGCAGTGTTGTCAGTTGCGACATGTTCTCTCCTTCTGGCGACTGTTGACTTTAGAGAGAGCAAGGATTTTAATGAGGCGGGGAGAGGTAAGGAACCCAAGCGGGTAATATCTCATCAAAATCATTTTTTCATGATATTTATTATATAATCATATCTTAATTAATATGGACGCAATTAAGAACTAATAGATATGATATTCACGAAATAGAATAATTTAGGCTATTTGTATTTTACAGACAATTTAACATAAATAATATCCGAGCATGTGGATAAAGAAAGCGCATACGAGCGAAGAACTTCAAGATTTTAAAGACCAGGAGTCTCTCGTATAGAAAAAAGGCTTGGCTCGTGGTTAGAATTGGCATTGATCTCCAATCTCGTTCCCTTGTATGAGTCATTTTGATACATTATTCGCGGAGGCGTTGCTCTGAGTGTTGCCCTCTCTCTCTCTCTCTCTCTCTCTCTCTCCGTGCCCAAGAACTATCGTGTAGTGTTGAACTAGTAGGTCAACTAAAATCACATTTTCGGTTTTGAATTCATCGAGAATAGCGTAGATCTCCCGATCACTTTATACTTGAACCGTCTTCGTGTTTTACGTAGGATCCGTTCGAACAGATCGCAGACACGTACAAGCAGGCCATGCCACAAAGACTAATGATGAAGTTTAGCAATAGTATGAGGAGGATTGACTCGGATCTATTCGTCCCCGAGGTATTAGAATTAATCTTACTCAACCTCAGGGGAGAGGCGGTACCAGGCGAAGAAGACATGAGGTAAGATTTCTAGATCTCAGATTTCAAGAATTCTTTGCTTGAAATTCACTTGTTTTAGCCTTTTAACCGGGCGTGACCCGTGAAAAACCTCCGTTCTCCTTTCGCTCCGTTGCAATTATCGCATACGTTCACTAACTGAACGCCTGGAATACAAAATGTAGGTTACCTTTATAACATGTGTCTTTCTGAAGCTGCTCTCAGATATTTTCTTCTCTGAGGATATCAAATTCAGGATGGTGTTGGAAAGTAAGATTTTTACCCCTCAGTTTTGAAACACTGTATCACCAAAAAATGACGTGTAGTTGAAATAGGTCTTTAACTCCACAAGTGTTCTTCACACCTCAAAAGTACGTCTTTTCATAGCTATCGGAAAACACCAGGATGACCGCGAATTCAAGTAAATCTTGTCGGCCCCCTACACGACTCGCTTCTAGCTATTTGTGTACAGTGTATGTCCCGCCTTTGTTAAACACTTTCCCAAATATAGAATTTTTAAGAGTACTGTAATTTTGACTCAAAAGTCGGTCTGCGTTCTTCGTTGTTCACTGGTGTTTTCTTACCGGTTAGACAGTAGATTAATAAAGATGTCGAGGTTGATTTTAAAAACGACTGTAAGTTGCACTTTTTACCATTTTCGCGCTAAAATAACTAACTTGGGACTTTGGGAGACGGCTTGAAAAACGTGTAAAGGTCTTCTCTGGTTCTTCCAACATCCCGCTCGGGTCATTAAGTGGGAAGGAATATGGTGCGGTCGAGTACTTTCCAGTATTGTGATACATTACAGCCGTTTATCCCTTCCTTTAGCTTGAAAGACTTTATCGAATGGCATCTTGACAACAAGGGACATGAGCCAGTTACTGGACTGGACGAACTACCAACAGACGTGAAGCTGAAGCACGTGATCAACGCATGGGGAACTTCTGTTGAACTGTGGGACAGCTATCTGGACAAGAGGGATGCTGCTTCAGCATAAAACTGCTGCTATGTGTTTTTGTCCTACATTTTTTTTCTTTTTTGTTCAAAGTCCCCAGACTTTACGTCGCTTTTTCTCTTAATTTGAACTTTCCTCCAGTAGTATTTGAAGTTCCTTTTTAGATTTCAGCATGAAAAATTAAATGAAAAAACTTAGTGGGAACGGCTGAAATAACATGAAAGTATCTGAAGAGGGAGGTTGGTCATTTTATGAAACAATTACTATGGTATCTTTTTTCAATTGCTTCGTCTACGTTTAGACATTTAGAATAATTTTGGCTTTCGACTTCTTAAATTTTATTTCTCGATACACGAGTTGGCTTTCTTTATTGATTATTCAGCGACTCAATCTGATAATTACCATACGTCATATTGTTCAACTTGGGTCGCTTAATATTAGCATAGAAACGTAAAAAACAATATTAAAAAATGTAGAAATGTAAAATGTGTATGTTGGTACATGTTATAGGTATAGGTAATAAAACTTTGTGCGTATGGTTGTTAAAAAATTGCAAACAATAAAAAACAATTTAAAAAAAAATATTGGAGTTTTTAATAGTAGCTTTATCGCTACAATATCGCTATTTTTCCCCACAATGAAATTAGTTTAAATGAGCGTAAAGCGAGGATATCTCCATATAAAAAGAAAACGAAAAAAGACAAATTGCATGAAAACTTTGTTCTTCGTCCATGTTTAAAACTCCAAAATCATTTGCATTTTTTATTTTTATAGGTAATAACATGATTTCGATTGCAATTTAGTGAAAATAAGCACTACGGGCCCGTGCAATTTGTAGTCTTTGAAAACATTATATTAAAAAAGCATCACAGAAAGTCAAGACAGACGTAATTTTGACAGCACACGCACTTTTTTTTTTTAGCTGCACCTGAGTTACAATTCTGCACTCATGTTATATGAAAAATGCACTCGTCTGTGTTTGAAGTGCAGCCAGTGGTACTTTTAGTTAATTGAATTTGTTCTTCAGTTGCAATTTCAAATATCAGAAGTGTTTCAAATAGATCTGATGCCAGCGTAAGATTTAAAGTAAGGTGGCATTCTCAGATTCCCTAGGTTCATGAAGTTCACATAATCATTTTTTCTTCAAAACTTTACACTCATTTTTGCAAAATGCTTGATATAGAAGTTTAGACACTTAAATATGCATCTAGAGATCAGTTTTCTGGTTATAGTTTGTGTATATAGACCTACACATAATTTTTTCAGACAATCATCCTACCAATTCAAAGTAAATTAAACTGTTCTAAGGGTTTAAGTTTTGCTTCTTTTTGGCTTTAGAGAGAAAAAAATGTGTTATGTAAAATAATAGTGTAAGACGCAAAGGCTGAAAAACATGATTGTTATCAGGTTCCATTGTGGGCTCTGAATAAATTGTACCGCTATCATCACTACATCAATAAACTCGTTAAGAATGATTGAAAGAGTGCTTATCCTGTTTGGGAGAGGGAAATGGGACAAAATTCTTTTAGAACCTTTAGTATGTCAGCATGGTTGAGTCTAGGAGGTGAAATCCATTGGATCAAATTTGAAGAACAGTGATTAACCGAGCGGCGGTAAACGCGAGAAAATGCATTCCTTGCACGAATTAATTCGAATTCACCGTTGCAGAGAAAATAACGGAAAATGCATGTTTTCCACTTGTTAACTCAAGTGAACATGTAGTTGGAATGCGCAAAACGGCTGTGAATGGCAGAATACCTGTTATATTCCATGCGCGAACCGAGCAGTAATAAACGGTAAAACGCCAGAAAATGCGTTCCAACGAATTTGCTCGAATTCACCATTGCGAAGCAATGCTGGAAAATGTATGCTTTCGACTGGAAAACTCTTGTGAATATTTCGTTAACTTTGCCAAAAATGGTTCCGAACAGAAGAAAAAAAAGGCCTTTTTTTATGCGTTATAAGAACGCCATTACGTTTTCCTGCATTTACACGCATTAATCTTCCCGGAAAATGCGTGTTTTCAGCCGCTAACTCCGGTGAATACGTTGTTGTACACTCGGAAAATGCCAATGAACAAAAGGAAAACAAGCTGTTTGTCGTGCGTTAACCGAGCGGTTAATGCCGGAAAATGATTTGTTTACCTGCATTTACCGCGAAGGAAAACTTCCGAATAATGGAACGAATACTGGGATTCACCGATGCGATGCAGGTTTAAGAACGTTTTTAGTAACAGAATAATTTTTAGATATGATATGTAAATAGTTTTTTGAATTTATATTGTAACTTAGGATATGTGATTTTATCTTAAGAAATAAAGATTATTATTATTATTATTATTATTATTATTATTATTTTAACGCACAGAAAATGTCGGATTTTCCGTACGCAAAACACGGGTAAATGTTAGTAAAATGCCGCGTTTTCCGTGAATTCAATCTTCGTTTTCCATACGGTAAACGCTAGTTTTTTTGCCGTGTAAGTCATTGACAGCTCTCTCCATGACTTCTTTTAACTGCCTACAAAGAAAAGTGGTACGACAGAGTTTCTGTTGCTGTCAACACATCATTCCGCAGAAACAGTTAGAGACAACAATACGAAACAATGCACGACTCACTGCAGTTCATGCTTACTTAAAATGAATTTTTCGTTACCCGCTCTCACGACGAGAGAAAATAGTACAAACTAGATGGTCTTAATGGCCGTTTTTATGCTAGAGACGTTAAAGTTGTCTAAGACGTTAAAGTCGTCTCGAGACGACTTTAACGTCTTAGACAACTTTAAAGTCTCCAGCATAAATGCATCTAATAGCGTTTCTGTTTGTGGTTAAGCGCGGGAAGTTTTGATAGACAGATGCAAGAACAACACGAAGGTTGGCGATAAGGAAGCTTACTTTACTGGCTCGAAATACGTTTATTTATTCCGAAAATTCATTTCGTAGGCGAACAGCCGTGCTGATTCTTAACATTTACTTACAATTTGTTTTACGCATCGACACTGACAGTTTTTTGATCAACAGCCTTAACGTGTAAAGTTTGGGGATGATTACTGCGGTAACAAGATGCAAAATACCTGCAGCTAAACGAAAGTGACCCGATTCTTTTTTTAAAAGCTACATATCGTAAGTATAGGTAGTTGATAAATTGAAGAGGATCCTCTTTTCGAATCAAGAGTAACTGTTTTCGCGCTTGTTTTATTTTATAATGGTAGCAAAACGTACTGGTCAATCACCACACCTAAAATTATCCTTAATGGCGAAAATCAAGCGCTCCTGAAAGTTTAAACGGGTGAGAAGGAAACCGTAATGGTCGGAGAGAAAAGGCTAGTGGCGAGGACAGATAAGGGTGCGGAAGTTGAATGTGTTGGACAGCCTAAATGTCCTTTCAAACAATTGATAAAACCTGACTCTATAGGAAAAAATATGAATTCCTCTGCGGTGTAATCAGAAGTCGAAGCAGCGTTTGCCATAACCATTCTTGTTAACATATTTTTTTCAGTATTCCCCAACGCTTCTGGTAGAGGTACTCGCTATTTTATAGGATCTGTCTACGAGCTGGGATTTGGAGATGAGATAGCCGAGCTCTGTCCTCTGAGGTGTGGGTGCTTGGCCGTGGATGTTCAAGAGTAAATCACGCCCTGAAATGGCCAAATTTGCTTCGCTGATGAAGTTGGTGTAGTCGTTGTAGGCGGTAATGTCATCTGGGATATTAAAAGTTGCGTCTTTTAACTTAATTTTCCTTTGGAACAGTTTTAAGGCGCATCATGCCACTATCAGGAAAGTGTTCGCGCGCGCGCGCGCACGTGTGTGTGCGCGTTGGGGAGGGGGGGAGGGAGTTTACTCATTCCTTTTTGTAAAAATTCCTCTATGTATAACACCAGCTGTATTTAACGCCCAAGAAGAAAAAAGTTTTTCCGGAAAATGAGGCTGACTTCAAGAACCTGTGGTTTTCTTTGGTTTTGAAAATTGTAAGTTGAGAGTGCTTTTTCAGGTCAGATTTCCAACTGAAATTCATTAAAAGAGTTTGTTTTGAAATTCTGACACACTGAGAGAAACAACGAAATGTCTGAAAAGACCAGGATATGATGCCAAATAGGGTTGGGTTGGAAAAAAGTTTGACCGTCCGTGACTCCCGTTCCCAGGGTCTTTCGGATATTCCCTGGTGAGTACGGTGTAGTTTCCCGGAATCTACTTTCGTCTTTCCAAGAACAGACACGGAAACATATTTTATCTTTTACACTTGCGCAGTGTCTTAAACTTGTTGTAATGCGCAAATAATTAGATGTCCTAAATGTAAGAAGACTTATTCTGACAGAGATGACGTCTGCTCTGAAGGTCGGAATGGATTAAAGCCAGATGAACGTAAAGCATCTATCGATGGTAGCAAAGTGACGGTAGCTGCAAAGGAGTTGTCGCAAGCGGCGGCGAACATGGAAGTCGACGACAAATCAAATCTTTCTCCTGGTAAGGAGAGCTTGTCTGTCTTAAGTTCTTCACCTGCGACTACTGACAATAGCATTTGTTACAATGTGTTATAGAAAGCGTCAAATTAGAATAGGGGAATACGGTTAGAGCAAAATCATCTGTTCATGCTTCCGATCCGAGTGAGTTAAATTAGACATTCAGTCAATTTAGGTTTGTCGACCGGGACTTGAAAGTTGGGCAACGAAACCTTTAGTTAAATTGTAGGGGTGGTACTTCCACATTTCCAGTCATGGAATTGAAGATGTCAAACTTTGAAAATTTGCAGCAGATGTGCAGGGCAGACAGATAATTTAAATTTTGTAAGATTTTATCTCATTTGATTTTACGTTCTCCTGAGACACATTGAAATTTACATGCCCTTGCAGGTCCTTGTCAATCTACGATGACATGATTAAAAGAGACATTAACTGTATGAAAAATTAACAGAATCAGAGATAAGAAAAAAGTGATTACCAAGCACGAATTAATTACATGCAACTACTTTGAAAGATGGGATGGGTCTTGTGGGAAGATGTACACCCTAGTGAACTGCAAAACAGTCTGTACTTGTGCATGCTAACAGGTTTAATGGCTATGCAAGATCTCCAAATGTCTGGACCTAATAAATGGCTCTAGTGTGTATGGACTCTTGTTTGCTTTTGCAAATCTGATAAACTTGTCTGTGCTTGGTTGAAATAAGCACCTGCCAAGCAGGCCAGTTGATGTATTGCTTGAAAGTAAATCAATACAATGGCTTATTATCATTTATTGATATAATAGTAGACCATGCAGACATTCTGAGCACACTCATGGAGAAGAGATAGCTGTTAACTGTTTTATCTATAGATTGTAGCAGCTTTTGCTACTGGCATCCTTTGAAACAATTAATGACTCAAGATCTGACTTCCTGCAGGCAGATTTGGGGCTGACTGTTAATTTTATAACTACTTTTGGTTCTTTTTTTCTTAAGTCTGATAGAGTGAAATTAAACTTTTTATCTCTCATAAAGCAAAGGTGCTTTAATTATTTCTGCTTCTAACTGATTTTAGTGTGTCCTTCCAAATTGTGGGCTTGGCCACTTGGAGATTCTTGGCATTAGCTCATATGATCAACTATTCATTTCTTTGAAATTTTTTGGTGAATTAATTGCCTCCTACAGGAGGCAAAGCCAGATATGGTACTGAAATGAGTGATGTCCTGTTGGATGAAACAAAAGTCTCACAACAATGGAATTGTAATGAAAAATTAAAATAATTTATTATCAACACTCAAAATTAAAAGAGGCAGATAAGTTTTATCATTATTGGAGCCTAGAGGATAGAGGAACAGTGAGGTTCTTGGGCTAGCCCTTTTTTTATTAAACATGATGATTTATTATCGCTGTTACTGTTGTTATCGTTATTATTACTGGTGTCAATATGATTATATGTTACCATTTAATTATTGGTGGAATGTCATTTAGTCACTCTATTCTTGAATCCTCTTTCTCTTGTGGTACAGGGTACTCATAAATATGTGGGATATTGCAGCAGGTTTTCTGTTTTGCATGTGAATACATCTTTTGCCACCATACCTTCTAGCATCATCATGCAACCTCTAGTTCTTTTCAATGTTATAAAAATTGTGCTTTATCAATAACTACATGCAGTCTTAGGCTGCCTATTTTTATTTAAAACCATAAGAAGTCATGATTGAAAAAAAAAACAAAAGCAGAAATCTGAAATGTAATCATCCCAGGAGTTATTTACTTTAACTGGTCAATTGCTATTTGCAGATGAGGGAGAAAGGAAGAGAAAGGTTGACAAACAAGAGGAAAAACCAGCAAAGCATAAATCTGTTGAATACAAAGGTGAGGTAATAGTGAATATGTGGCAGCAAATGCATTGCAGAACCTGACCATGCCCGATCAGGGTGGTGATCAAAAAGGAATTGTGGATCTGCTGATGATCACCTAACCTATAAGATACACCAGAATTCCCACCCAGTAATGCTGAGAGTGTACCAGACAGATCTTTGAGAGATGTGTCTGAGAATGAAGAAGGTATTGCTACAGGTATTTACCCTTTCGGATAAGGTGTTTAATAAGAATATGGAGGTTGCCACACTAAGAGAGTTACCTGGGTTTATTTTGTAGAAGCTTGGTTAAAATTTCCAAATACCTTAACTTGGTTAAAGGTTGGTTAAAATGTTGAATCAACAAGATTATATTTCATGAGCATCCAAACTGAAATGTGTTATGAAGTGGGTGAACTCAAATGACATCATGAGGTAAACAAACAAAGTACAATGGCAAACTTTTTTCTTCATTTTCGTTTCCTTTAGCTACACCCACCATTAAGGCAGTCCTTCTTCATATGCGCACTATGTTTCATGCAAATTTCTAAGACATTTCGTTCAAACATGATGTTGATTTTGCATAGAAAAGAAATCTGTCTCTCTTCATCTGTTATTTCATTAGTAGTGTTTGAAAATGCAACCTGAGAACAAAATCTCACAGACAGACTGTGATTAACAGATGCATTTCCCAAGAAAGCCAATGCCTGGCACTGATAAGAGTTAATTAACTTGGGATAAGCTTTGCAGAGAGGTAGTAAGAAATTAACCTAGCTCAGGGTTCAAAATCTATTGTTCTTCAATAAATTGCTACAGTAACTGTTAACCCAATTTCAGTACAAGGAACAGTTGAAAAAAGCAGATGCATCACAATTTTTGGTATCTGTGTTGACCATATTTTGATTAATCAGAAATGACCCAGATAACTTTCCTAGTATGGCCATGGCCAAAGAAGAATTTAGAATGTTTTGGTAGACAAGTTTAAATTTGGAGCCACCACTATAATAAGCCCATGAGGTAATCACCTAATTAATTCATGTATTCTATGTAAAAGCTAATATTTTTCACATTTGACTATATGGTTAAAGTATCTTTGACACGTTTTTTTCTATTACCGTAATTTCCGGTCGTTTACCCGCGGGTAATCTGCTGATTTTGTATTAAACGCGCGCCACTGCGGGTAATCGGGAGGTGCGGGTTATGTGACAATTTTAAAATCCAGTGGTAGTTGAATTGAAAAAAAAATATCACCAACATGCGTTTCCACCTCTCAAGTAAATTTTATTGTGTTAATAGTGCCGCAAACATGATGCCGACTCGAGTTTATTTCACGCATAATTAGTTGCGCGACGAACAAATTATTATCGGCACGCGTGAAAACAAAACCTTGATGGTGACAAAAATTAACCATAGATATCCGGCGCATCAGTAACAAATTTCCATTTAACACTAGCTTGAGCTAAAGAGAATTTTCCCGTTTTAAGGGACTTGTTAGGCCCAATAGAACCGGAGATATCGATTTTTTCAGAAATCGCCGACAGTACTTTATAATTCAACTTTTAATACTCACCCAGCTTTTTTTCAACAAATCAACATGGCGCTGAACGATCGCTCGCACAAAATGTGGCCACAAATTCGCATTCTGTCAAGTATGAAACGTTGAGATTTGGGCATGGGCCGCTAGTGTTTTTACTGTATAATCTTATCAATAAAGTACATGCTAATATTGACACAGAATTGTGCACGCGTCTGAATTTCTTTGACCTTTCAACTCGACAAAGACGCTTCGAAGTTTTCGAAAGTTGGATCAGACAACTTTTAAAAGACTGAAATGTATCACCTTAATGTCACGTTTTCGCCACCAAAAAGCTGATTAACAACGTGCGGGTTATCCACCAGTGCGGGTAATCTGGTGACTTTTTTTTTCGCCGTATGCAATAATCGGCCGGTGCGGGTAATCGGCCGTGCGGGTAATCGGCCGTGCGGGTAAACGACCGGAAATTACGGTAGTACATTTTTAGAATTGTATTTTAATGTTTATCCTTTCTTTTTAAATTTACTTCTTAATATAGTGTCCCCAATTAGCGTCATTATGACACTCACTCACTCATTTGACACTCAAATAAAGACACTTAGTTACTTACTTACCTAAATCTCATTCAAGCCTGAGTTACTTATGAGTCATGTAATCATTCCACTTATTATGATGACATTGGCTATCTAGCTATGAGCTGTCAAGTATATAATTTGCATGGAATCTGACATCTGACATAAATCAAACATTTCATGCCTCCACTTGCTTGATTATGGTTATAGCTGTGTTTACTCATGTTCCTAATCTCACCATTTCTATGAATAACTCAGGTATTAATGGCCATGCAGCAGTACTCCAAAATGTGGTTTCTAAATTAATAGGGGTCATGCATTATCTTTGTTGGCCCCACATTAAAAGCAGCAAATTTGAATTTGAACCCCAAATTAAAGAAGAACATAAGAAAGAATGGACATACAAAGGTTACTGAAAGTTGTTTTACTGATTTCTAGAGGTGTCTATTTCAACTTTTGCTCACAGTTTTTTTGGAATATTAATTGAATGTCTCATTTTTGCACACAATAAAAGAGATTTGGGAAGAGGAAGGATCCTATTTTTTTTAAGTTTAATTATTAAACAAATGATGGTGAATCTTCTCTGTGAGGGAATCCTCTGATAGCCTTTTGCCTTGACATCCTTTTCAATGCATCGAGCGGAAGGCCACATCAGTCACAGCAGCCAAGTTTTACAGCAATGTCATCCCAAGCAAACTTTATATTCCTGAGAATTCGACTGTCATTCATTCATTAATTAAACACACCCCTTAAGTAGTTTGATTTCTAATTGTCATTTGAAAAAAATTGCATGTTGTTGTGAGCTTCAATTTGGCCAGATTTCACTGAACATTTCACTTTCAGATTCTGTTTTAGAGACTTAAAAAATTCAGGCAAAAGTGTTTTAAAATTAAACCTGCCAAACTATTTCAGTCTGTAAACTATTGCAGATTGACAACTTTGATGGTTTGACATTATTGACGATACTGTTGTTCACTTTGGAAATAAAGTATGTTTTGAAAATTGAAAATAATGCGTGGGGAATTTAAATGATTTTTTATTATAAAACAAGAAGAGAAGCCTTGACTGTGCTCTGGTCTGCTGTAAAGCACTTAGGAAGCAGTCTCATGTTTCTCCCCACACTAATCTTTCGTGCTTTAGCTGCTTCCTGCATGCTTTACAACAGATCCGAGCATAGTTAAGGCTTCTATATTTAAGTAACATCTAATTGAATAGTCTATATATAATTTTGTCTGATTAGAAGCAGTCCTGAAAAGGACTGTTATCATTAATATAGTGAATGCTGTTTTTAAAAACTTTTGAAGAAGTGATCACCATTATTAGAGTCAATAAGAATTAGTGTGTCAGACATGTGTTTTAAGTCTGGTCCAAGAAATTTGATTGCATGGTCAGATATGCTGTGATTTTATTGGGTGTGAGACTCAATTAGTATTGTACTTTAAAGACTTAAGGTGATCGTAGTTGATGATGTAATGTCTTGAATAAGTTTTTTACATGTTGATGGTGGTTGTTCACATCTTTTGAGAGGAGTCTGTTGCATATATAATGCAGTAAAAAGCTTTACGGGGTCAGTCCTTTAGTTAAGTCATTGACTTGACTCTTAATGATACCATCTGCACAGGTTGTCAAAACATCAGTAACTTAATTAATTACCAACCACAGTCCATTTTCAGACTTTTCCATGCAGATAGTAAGACTATTTTGTCATGGCAAGTATGATAAAGATGAAAATGTTTGAGAGCTCTCTCATGCAGAATCAATCAGTGGTAAAGTCTGTCCAGTTTTAAAATTTTTGGCGCAAAAAATATGCACTAATTTATTGCAGAGTCAGAGTTATAACATTGAGAAAGGATAGAATCTTATTTCTTAGCTACTTGCTGGCAAATTAGTGTGGAAAGCAGTATTCCCCTAGGAAGAGAGCATGCATCAGCACCAGTTAATGAAACCCATTCAGTTCGTGGTTCGCCGCAAATATGATTACAATTTGACTTTCTTTCGTGATGTAATTTTATGTTTAGAGAACAATAAGGAAAGGTGCCTGATTTGTGGGAATGATGATCTGATTTGTGTGGAATGGGAGGTCATCCACAAAGTATAAGTCATGCCTCACTCTATACAAGGGTGCTCTACCTGGATCTTTCTTTGCCATTCCAAATCGAATTCTGATGGACAGTTTCTGAAGTTTTTGAGATATTTATGGATTTCCTCTATGATGTGATCTACCACAAGAGCATGATTAGCCTTCACATCGTACTTGATGACTTTCTCTACGACACCATTGCATTTCTTTGGTAATAGGTGTCTTGTATGAAGTCCGGCGTCTGCTATTCCAGGCTTATAAACTGGCTCAAAATCAACATTCTGCATTCCCAAGACCCATATTTCGATTATTGGTGGGAGTTGCGCGGTTGCCTGTTGAATAGAGGACGTAACGGTTTGTGGGCTGTACTGATCTTGACCTTTGATGCTCCAAGGAGGTAGATGTTGAACCTGTCCTTTGCCCAATGTACAACTAAAGCATCTTTTTCTGTTTGACTATACCGCTTCTCAGTTGCGGTCATAGTACGGCTATGGCTTGGCCACAGGCCACTGTTTGTCTCCTAGTATTTGCGGTTGGTTTAGCAGGATCAAAGTAAGCCATGGGGCTTTTCCTAGTTACGCTTGATGTGCGCTTTTCAAATGCTTCATTCTCTTCACCCCATTTGAACTTTGTCTCTTTATGATCAGCTCTTGAGAGAATGCGGTAAGTGTTGCATATCTTGGAATGAACTCAGGAAAGTATCCTGTCATATCCAGGAAACTCTTTGCAGCTTCTTTTGACCCTGGGGAACTACTTCTTTTCACAGCCTCAATCTTTTCTGAGCTTGGTTTCGATCCATTCTTCATGAAGCGATGTTCATAGAAATCTATTTCTCCAATTCAAAACTGGCATTTCTCTGCAGTTAATGTAATACCAAAATCTGCAGCTCTCTGCAAGACTATTTTGTTTTTGAAGGTCTTGTCCCCCCAGCGGGATGTCATCATGTTGGTTGAGATTTTTTGGTATTTTTCCAAGTATTCAGGGCTAATTAGGGCTAATTAGGGGTTGGTGGTACCCTTGTCTCATGTCAAGTTGGAAGAAGACCGGACAGTCATGAAATTTGTACAAAAAAAACTTCAAGAGGAGTTACTCGGGTTTCCTGTGTCTTGTCACGAAGCATTTGCATTTTCTTTCACCAAGAGCCGCACGTGTTGGAACTATTTTGAGGCACTTTTCGGTCTCCTCTGTGCGCAATCCAGTTAACGTTTCGCTTTGAGGATGAGACAAAATTCTCTCATCACATTATGATACCACTGAACTGAAATACTTTTTTAAGGCTCTGCGAATCATTTCTCCCGAAAATAAATGTGTTTCTTGACGGAATAAGTGATACATCGGTCTAGTTCACTGATTGCGTAGTTGTACTGGGTTTGAGTCGATGAATTAATGAATAGGTAAACGCGCGCATCGCTGGATGTAAATTGACGACTTCTGATTGAATAAATCTTTCGTTTTTTCAGTTTGACGCCATGTAATAAACAACTTAATAACCTCGAACGTTCGTTCGAAAGCGAGAAAATCTCAAACATCGGCCCGGCCATCGCTCGGTCAATACATCGAGGCCTCAGTTTGAGATTTTCCCTTATCGACCTCACTCACGGTCATTAAGTAGTTCATAATAGTGCTGTAATTGAAGCTGTAATAAATGAACAACGAGGAAAGAAAAATAATATAAAAAAGTAGGGGATATAAAATAACAGACTAAGATAGTTTTGGCAGAAATGCTGCCGTGATCTCACAAATTCATTACTTTACTGATTTTAATCATTGAAAATACACTGACTGTCAGCATGTTTTATTTTCCACATGACAGCTGGTGATGCAACTGTTGGTCAAGACAAAACCACTACTGAATCAGTGTCTCTTCCAAGAGCTCCAGTATCTCCTGATCATAATGGTGAAACTGAGGAAAAATCTGTTGGGCTCGCAAATGGTGATACGACAGCTGCCAGCATCGATGTGTCTGATGTGCCTCAGCCCCATCAAGAAGATGATGGCCAACCCGAGGTTGATAAGGACCATGGAAACAGTGAAAACGACGCCGATTCAGAAAAAAAATCTGCGGGAACACACGAAACATCAAAAACTGATAACGGAAGTACTTCACAGAAAGAAAAGGACGCAAAGAAGGAGGGAGAAAGTCATAAGGAACCAAAGCAAAAACAGCAGGCATCAGAGTAAGGAATTCGTTTTTTTATTATTATTTAGATGATACACTACTTGAAGTAAGCTTTCCATACTTTCATATCTTGGTTTTGTCCAATCAAAACCAACCAGACTGTTTGATTCAAGTTTTCCCTACTCAGTAGGTCACGTTTCAGTATTATGACTATACAAAATGTTAATGACGGCACCAAACGGCTAACATGGGAATATGCAGATAATACAGTGTTCCAGCAGTCGAATTAAACTACTTTTATCAGCTGGGATGGTGTTGAGTGAAGTTTCAGAACTCATATTTTTGACCATCACTAGATTGGTTTTGTTTAGGAAAAAGTGTCAGAAAGCTCCAAGACTTTTACATCTTGTTCTCCGCATTTTCATTTAATAAAAGGTTTGGCCTTAGCGGGAGTGGTGGGAAGTGGGAGAGAGACTTGCCAGAGCTAGAATCGTAGATTTAGGACGTAACAAGATCACAAATTAAATGAGCATTGATTGAAGCAAAAGACCAAATATTTCAAGAAACCCTGAGTTTTGGTTCGTATTTGTTATTTTTCGCAAACTAACCTATCGTTCCTTTAGTACTTCACAATTTCAATAAAATAAATCATATGGTTACCTGCGGATGAACATCAAGCGAAGAAATGATCTTGGCGGGTGAGCTTCAATTTAAGAAATTGCAGAAAAGAAGCCTGCAAAATATTCAGGGTTCGACACACTTCGAACCCGTGCCTCTAAGATGCTTGTTGAGAGCTGCTACTAATTGAGCTACAAAGCCACATGTTGGGAGCGAGGTAAATTTTAGGGGAGTTTTCGTTGCTTTAGAGGAATTTGATTACAATTTAGGTGAAATTCAAGTGAGGAAATTATTCTCACAGTGGTGAGCTGCGTTGCAATGTAAGCAGTCTCAAGAAAATTCAGGCTCTGATGGGATTCGAACTTGTGCCTCAAAGATACTAGTTGGGTGCCACTACCAACTGATCAAAAGGCCTCATCTAGGACTGAGGCAAATTTTTGTTTGGCCAAATAACTTTTTATTACAGTAGCTTTTTTCTTTACAATTTCTTTTAGTCTGCTTCAAGTTTCAGGTAAGTTACTTGGTTCATTCCTTCCCATCCTAGCATGCAATCAGATAGCAATGGAGTCCAAGGAAATGTGTTCGTGGTTAACCTGCTAGAGAAAACTCTCTCAGCCTCTCTCAATTTACTACATATCATTTTTATATAGTCAAAAACAGCAGCGATTTATATGAATAACAAAAACATAATTTAATTTTATTCATAGGAAACGTGAAGGTGCAATGAATGACTTAAAGCCAGAAAAACAAAAGAATGCAAACACCAAAGAAAACCAACTTGACGAAAATATCAAATCTGATATAAAGAAAAACAGTGGCCATGACACAAGTTCTGTTGGGGATGTAATAGGGAATAGTAAAAAAGAAGACAAAAGAAAGGAATATTTTCCCGGTTACAAGGGAAAGAGAATGACTGTTGTTTTTCATGCTGTACTTGCACCTCATTTTAAATTTGAGGAGAGTCAAGGTGACAGACTCTATATGAGGTTTGGTGAAACTGCTCTTGGAAACTTTAAGGAAGATGTTGTTGAAGTGTTTCCACAAAGGTAAATTTATGTAAATTTTTTCAGGGTGGTGAAAGTAATATGATGATCGCGGCTTCATCATATGTGCAAGGTCAATTTTGTCTGCACTACTTTTTGTTTCAGGGAAAGTTGTTGGAACAATGATTATAAATTTTGTAGATTTTATCTATATCTGAGTTGAAAAATGTTATAATTATACGCAGTATAACCTTTGCCAAGTGTACTAATATACTGCAGGGATTCTTTCCAGATCAACTTTCGATGCATGAAGGACCAAGAATGCTGTGTTTTGAATGATCACCTTTCTTTTTTCTTGAACTGTGATCAAATGCAATGAAATGAATAAAAAAATAAATCGGTCGAACTTGGTGTTAAAAGTTTGATGCTGGTGTTTGAAGTAATATGTCATTTGTGACCATTTTCAGTTCATGCAAAGTTGAGATGAGCCTTGCAGCTGCCTCATTTCTCAGTTAACGGGCCAAGTCGTTTCGACACAGTTTTATTTCTACATAATTTAATTCTAAGTGGCTGTGAAGAGACAGCTTACTCTGGTTTCTTTCACTACAAGGGGGCTTTCAGGCTTTCCTGAGTGACTCTATGAAATGTTCAAACAAACTACAAATTTGTTTCTTGTAAATAACGATACAGACTAGGAATGTTGTACTGTAGCAGTTATGGTTCCAGTTGCACGTACTGAGAGTTTTACTTGGATTTATAGATATCTTGATGATGAGTTTATCCTGGTGAAAGCCGAGCTCTCGGTACCACACGTTTTTCTAGCTCGCAAAATTCCCTACAAGTATATTGTGTTCAAAGCAAAACGAAAAGATTCAAAGGAGAAAAAGAAGAATTTGTGGGAACAGTTACCTGACTTGGGAACTATGACGAACCGATGTCTTCATATTCCGCAGGACAAATGTCGTGAGGGAGGTACTTTCATGTCTTTTTCCATAACTCTCATTGGGGGCGTATTTTAAGCGAGCTATCGCTCATTACTTCGCGAAATGCGTGACCGTCATCTTAGATTCTCAACTCAGAAGAAGGATTAGAGAGGAATTAATTTCCACTGAGGGGGTGATCGATAGCCGAAAGGAAGGAGGAGGGATGGCCTTTTCCGTACCCGTTTTATGCTCACTTTCGCCTGAATCAAACATCGCACTAGGCAGAACAATCTATAAGAACGTAGTAACATCAACTTGCGCTCCCAGAATGTGAACTAATAAAACAGGCTAATTTTCCACTGGTCAGCTTATGATTATGTAGAAGCATTGCTTATTAAATTAAGGTAAAGCTCCTAATTACTGATTTGCATTTACTCTTGTTTAGCGTTCTGGCACCAATATGATGACACTATTTTCAGTTCACCAAGTTGGTGGCAAAGTATTCGTAGCAAGCTGCCAATTTTAAAGGGCATGGATTCCACTGAGGGAAGGACCATAGCAACTCGAGTCATGTTGCCTAAGTGGGAGGGTTTTACGGTGGATGACGTGGAGGAGAATATTACTGCTTGGGAAGCTATTCAGACAGTCAATGATATAGCTTACTGCTACACTCAAACCGAGGCTATGGAAAAGAGCCGCACGACAAAAAAAAATGTTCCACATCGTTATAATTTTCAACAGGTAATGTTCAATTAACTAAATTCTGAGAAGAATGTCTCATCTCACACACTGAATACCCTCTGTCTGCTACTCAGAGAATGCAACACTTTGCCAATACTTATGCGATGTACCCTTGTTTTTAAAGAAAAGGATGCCATTTGGAATTTTAAAAGCTTCTACACCGTAACATTTGGCATTTCCTCAAAATTTTAAACACCCTTGGGAAACGCTTAGTAAGATTTATCGCTTGTCACTTAGAAAAAGGTATCGTTATTTTTGGGTTAATGTTTTCCTAGACCAAGTTTGAAATTTTCACATAACTCACAAAATCGATACTCGTGAAGGTGCGATGCTATTATAAATTGGTTACAGATGTTAGAGCAGTATTCTATGTGAGATGAAGAGGAGAATTTATTGATGAATTATAGTTCTTCAGTTCTTGCCCTTAAAATCATTCGAAACAACTGTCGTGTGTCTGTAGCTCACAAGAGCAGGTAATGTAGGGATGCGTTATGCTGCACACAACTCGTGGGGGTTGGAAGCCTACTTTGTACGGCACGAACAATTTTTAAACCACTTTTGCGACTTGTTAGTCTAGAATTGAGGAATCTGATAGAAAATTTTATAGTGGAAACTGTTAGATTGGTAGTGCTTCCAATAAACAAGTTGAGAGTGGAAACAACATTTCAGTTTATTCACTTAAAGAAACTACATAAAAGGATACACACCAATGATTTTGTTTCGGTACTTGTTTTTTTTTTAATAAGAAATGCAGTCCTTAGTCATAAAATTCATCGAGGAAAATATAAATTCAGGTCCAATCTAACAAACTAACGTTAGTTGTTATCTGTTTCCAACCACAGATTCTGAAAGAATTTTTCAAAACGAGGATCGAAACAAATGATGTTCCTCAATCAGATACAGACGACAAGAAAACGTTTCATCCGTTGGTGTCATCCGTTGCTATTGCCTATATCATTTATACACATAAAGTGTATCTTGATCCTCAACAATACGAAAAGCTGTTCGCCTCTTTGATTCTGCATCCAGACCCTAGAGAAAAAAGATGTGCAGGATTGGAAAAGATTCTTAAGGAATTTTCCTCAGATCAGTTGCAGTAAGTTCGTTTCCTTTTACGGTTAACAATTTTATATGAGAGCAAGAAATATTCGATTGTAGGTTTTTTTTTCAGTAAAGAATTTTAACTTTTAACGAAATAAAACATTTGAAGATAGAGGTTAACAGATCATTATTATGGCAGGTATGATAAGATCAGCCATGTTTGCCGGTGCCAAGAACCATTAGAGTTGTAGACTTGTTCAGGCAGTTTTGCAGGTATGGAGTAGATCAGACAAACTATGGTTGCGTTCTTTAAATTATCCAGAAGCCTTGGTGAAGCCATTCAGGCCATTTGCAAACATGTCGCCAAAAATCACAATGACCTTCATGAATGGCTCTTTGCCGTACCGTTGGTTCACTTTCTGACCCAAGTATCCCAGCCTTTCAGCGGTTCTGTGTTACTTATGGAGGAACCAAAGGAAAAAGACGACACTTGGTGGGGAGCAAATGGATTTGACACGAAGTCCGTCAGGGAGAGAAGTTTTACAGAGCGCAGGTACTCAGCTTTAATATGCCCATTATAATGTTTCCTGGTTGATTAACCATGCAAAAAGGGTGTACACAATACATACATGGCGATAGGTCGGTGTTTACTTTGGCGCTTTCGTTATAATTTCAAAATAATTTATTTTTTGATTTGTAAATCATGCACTGTAGTTTCTGGCCTTTATTCCCAAATCGTCCGTCACTATGCTTTGTACAGTAACTTTTCAGATGCCAGCTTAGGCAGACATCTTGATAAATATAGCTTCTACATTATAGTAAGGAACGCTCAAAGGATTCAAGTGTTTTTTTTTTAATGGAGGTAAGAAGTCTTTGCCCTCAGTTACTCTCTCTTTATGAAATCGGCCATGTATAGATAATAAACGATTCACATCAATTGTAATATGTTCTCGTTTCACTTCGTTTTAGCTGCCCCTCAAGACTTACAGAAGTGCTTTCTCCTATGTTTGAATTGGATCCTCTGTTCCGAAGGACTTTCCTTCTTGTAGTTCCTTGTCGTGTATTCAATAAAATTGCTTCCAGTGGAAAGTTTGCTCCCGTGGAAATATATACTACCCTCGCTAGAACCTTGTCCGAAAAGGTTCACATAACCGAACAAGAGGTGATGCTTAACTGTATGTTAATTTGTGTTAACCCAGTTTGAGATGCATGGCTGTTTGCTTACTAAACTCGGCACAATTTCGTTATGTCATTACTACTGAATGATTTTCGCTGAAGTGGCTTTGTCCTATCATTAACAGAGTACTTAATATATTTTATATTTACGCTCAGCGAGAGGAATTTACAGGTTGAGATTTTGTTTTTTGTTTGGTTGTTTGTTTATTTTGTTTTTGTTATTATTTATTTCAACTTGTTTAAATTTTAATTTAAGGCTAAATCATAAGACTGAAGCTATCTCGTGGATAAAAATATGGTGCTTTGTCACGAAAAAAGATTGATTTTAATTTAAGGCTAAATTATAAGACTGAAGCTATCTCGTGGATAAAAATATGGTGCTTTGTTGCAAAAAAAGATTGATAAAAGCAGAGTAGCTGAAGGTAAGGAAAGGCTTGGTTGGTGCAAAATAGTGCTGTTTGTGGCGATCGATAGAAATTGCTTTTGTTGTTTCAATGAGTTCGTTTTGTATCTAAATTGACATATTTTGGACGAGGAAACCTTATGGCAACAGTGCTTTATGAAATATCTGTCACTTCATTTTTTCCCATTTTGCCTTTATGTACAGAGCAATGCTGTCAACACTAGCCTTGATGTAATTTTGGAGGATCTCAAGAAAGCTAGCAAATCTATAGACACAGGGTTAGTATACAGTTAACATAACGTCTAATTTTATAGTAGTAAGTGAAGACATCTCATATGAGATACAATTTGACCTGCTCTTTTACTAATTTGGACATTCATTCGCCAAAGATGTCGCGTAGAATCTCAAAACTCCTAAAATAGTACATAATGCTCTAGTGACTCAAGTCTATAGAACGTTCTTAAAACTGATGTCTTATTGATTCGATCCAAGTTAAGTCACGAATAAACACCATGAGAATTTAAATGAAAGGTGCAAGTAAATTATTTTAAAAAATGAGAAAATAGTGAAAAACCAATACAAATACATCTGATAGTGTGGTCTGGTTGTTCGGGTAAGTGTAGTTCTGCGAAGGACTGTTGTCGTTAGTGGTGACTGACGTTTCGACAACCTGAGCGGAAGTCATCATCAGAGTCAAGTGAGAAGTTGTTGTCAGTCGAATGGTCTGATTGGTCAGTTTTGCTGTGATGTTATTTGCTGTAAGACTCAAGTGGCGTAGGTCGGTCGTGATTTTTCTGGTGCTGCTTTAGTCCCTAGACCAATTTAATCATAATTAATTTCTCTTTTAGCTTATTTTTTATTTTTGATATGCATTGTGCATTTTCTAGATCCATGCATTTTTGCATTTATTGCGTTCTTTTTCGGTTTCCGAACACGATCATTTTGGAAAAATCGTTACTCGTAGCAAGTGCTGTGCTCTTAAAACTCCAGGATCACATATGTAGAACATACCAAGATTACGTTTTTTTACGCACAAATGAACTATCACCGCGAAAGACTATCATAAATAGCCACTTTTTTGGAAAAATTGATCCATAATGATAGATTTATAATAATATATCCCCCATCTCTCGAATAAGCGCTTTCGTCTTAATGTTAACTTTGTATAAGGGAACTTACCATAGCGATAATTTACTTTTGCCAAATTTGCGAAATGTTCCAGTTTCCTTCCGTAAAATTTAACTACTCAGGTAAAGATGTGACTGAACGATCCTGAAAAATTAAAAGGGAAAACCTATCAAATGAGCTTACTTTGGTGATGCTTTTATTGTTAATAATACTTGATGAGTATAATGATTTGTTTTTGGGCGTGTGTTTTTGCCATGTTCAATTTTTGGTTTCTGAGAAGAGGAATTTTACAGTTAGTGTCATCCTGAATGATTATCTTTTTGTTAATTCATAGGTATTCTAGCTCTGAGGAACTTATCGCCCTGACACAACAAGCATATCTCTGTACCTCCTCTTGCTTGAGCATTCTCCATGCTTTAGTTTCTTCTCGTTGCAACTTTGTCTTGTTGTATAGTTGTGTGCTTAACATTGAGACATGGTTCTCAGTCCTCGAAATGACAGAGCAGGAAGAGAAACGGAAATTTGACAAAGTGAAACGAGTGGTGGTCGAAACTTTTGAAGTTGTAAATACTGTGTTGAAAAAGCATGTGTTATCCTCAAAGATGCCATGGTACAATACGACTGAAACACAGGAGGAACTAAGGGTAATAAAAGTTTGATTTACGAATCAGTAAAACTAATATACCGGTAATCTATTTGCAATATGTGGCGATTATTACTAAAATCGCCTAGTGAACATGTACTGCTCAGTTTAATCATCGTTACATCAATGACTTCATAGATTTGCTGCACATGTGGGTAACCATTTGACGTCACAGTGTCGCGTTGATGTTTAAATGAAGTGTCAATCTTGTTATTTATCTTTCAAGGAATAAGTATGATATCCGTTGCTGTTGAAAACGTTTGTGCTTTTGTATGTTTCCTTTATTTTAAGATATGGTCTGTTTTGCTGAATATTGTTTGGGGAAACAGTCAGTGTGCAGAGAGTTGGAAAAATGACCTGTCAAGGACACTGAAAATGCGTTTGGAAGAGGTTAGGATGCGGCTCTTCCCGTTCTTTTTTTTTTTTTTTTTTAATGTCATTTACGGAATTCCTTAATTCCCATAGGAAAGTTGGCAACTTCTTGAGTGAAGGAGCCTTTTTGTATATGTTGCCATGTTTTTTTCCTTTTTTCTTCTAGTTGGATTGCAATTATTTGATTGAAATATTCACTAAAGTTAACATGGTAGACCAGCATAATCATGTTCAAGACTTGGTGTCCGAAGTAACATTCAGGAAGGTTGAAAGCATGCTGAAGGTGATTATGCGCTTCCTTCTTTCTTCATAATACACAAGTTACAAAATAACTAATTTTTTTCCTATGCTTTTGTTTGTTTGTTTGATTTTATTACTGTCAGATTGGAAGTGAAGATGAAGAAGTATTCAGAAACCTTACAGAGTACGGACTCGATTCTCCTCAGGCCTCAGAGTGTGGCCGATTGCTAACTCTAATGTTGACAAGTTGTTGGCCAGAGGTACAGAGAGGTACCCCATGTTCAAGTAAAGACATTCTGAGGCACGTTCTGACATGGAGGCTTTGGCCCTGCTTTTTCCAAAGATTTGGTAAGATATTTGATGGATAAGTGTATTTTTGTTTGCTTTTCTAGAAGGCTTCTTATGTTTACTCTCAGGGTTGGCTTGTACATAGTTTCATTAAATTATGATCATTTCATATCTGACTTTTTAAACTGTTTTAATTGGACTATTTTTCAGGAAAAGCTTCAGACCTCCGACGGGTGCTCAAAGAAGATGGCAGGGATATTTTGATGAAGGCTCTATCATCTATTGAAGCAGCAGCTGACTCTTTAAAAGATGGAGCTATCGAATGTGAAATGGTCCGTGTACTCCGAGATCATTCAGACAGATTTCTAGTACTTTATGACCACATATACAGGGAGCAAAGTAAAATAGACTTTCTTAGACAGTCATTAAATCGACGCTGCATTGAATTAGATGCATTTGTTCAGGAACGAGATAACGTTGGTGCCTTCATAAGGATGTGCTCAACACTCAAGCAAGGTAATAACCAGGTTAACGTACTAAGTATGAATCGTAGAAGGGGTGCTCGTACAATTTTTTGCTTGCACTTTTCATAAATTAAATAAAGCCCAAATGGACAAGGCCCGTATTTAGTTGGGTTAGTTTTACCATCAATCTCCGTGTTGTAAATTTAGTATTTCACGTCCTTTTGGGAACAGGTAAAGCAAACATATTATTCTTTTTTTTAGAGGGCACGGTAACGAATCCTGCAATCTGATTGGTTCTTTACCGGTCAGTATTTTCCTATCTCTGCTCACGGGCCACGGTAACGCTTTCGTGAGTCCCCGAGTACATCCCTACTTTCGTTGCCATTTTCCATGAATATATCTCGTTTTTCCGGCTGGGCAGTATTTTTAAGGAAACACGTCGGTCACTACCTCAAGCTGATAAATAGCTTATGAATCCTCTCTTTTCTCTCTCTCAAATCACTTTGGTTGACAGAAAAATATTGGTTTCAGAATGAATTTGTATAAATAGTGTCATTACGTTGGCTGACAAGCGGCCTGAAAACCGTCTGCAATTAATTTTAATCGTTCACAAAAAGTGCCTAGAAAGTTTAAACGTGAGGTATTCGGTTACAGTTAAACTGAACGATGTAACTTTCACTCATTTAATACCTGAATTTTCTCAAGCAACTTGTTCGTAATGAAAGAGCGAGCGAAGTTTGAATTTCAGTTCTACAACAAATATACGCTCTCGGTGAGTCCGTTCAGTCTGGACATTTGTACCTACGGCCTACGGCCTCGGGTAACATTTTCAAGACCTCGGTCAAAATTTTTCCGCCGTACGGACCTCCAAGCCGGCAAATAACATATATATACGCAGTAAGTACTTAAAGATCTTCTGCTACCCAAAGGAAAGGTTCCTGTGTGACTAAAAAGTGCATAAAACTGGTTTCTACCAAAAAATAAGAAAAAAATATCTTTCAAATCTTTTTCAGAATTCATAAGTGAAAATAGCAGAATTTGTTTGCAGCACGTATGCAAACGCCCTTACAGCGCGGATTTCAGTCAGGATGCATATTTCTTAGGTCTACCCAAATATCGCTACCTGCTCGAAATCTATCGGTGAAACGAGTCATGGAAGGGCTAAATTTGCAGTTAGAAGAAAAATTGGCGAATTTCACGGGTGTACGAAACCCACAAATAACCCATTTTTGTCCGTTGTCTTCGTCTTTTGACCGCAATTATATTATTGAAAATTCTATTAGCTGTTTGATTCAATACAAAGCTCCGTTTGAAAAATACGTTTTCATCATTTATATGGTATTAATCGCGCTATAGAATTGTTCAAATTTCGCAAAGCCTCTTTTAAGGTTAACAAGTATGATTTCTTTTTTAGCCGAAATTTGCCTCGCGTTAAGAAAAGAATACGGCAAACCCAGAGTACACGAAAGTCTACCAGGCTCCAAATTTAAGTCTTGAAGCCCCTTTCCAGAGATTCGAGTATTCTCTAGCTTACTCCCTTTTCATCTGAGATTCAAAGTGATTATCTTCATTCAAATGAGGCGTCAATAAGCATCATTATTATGCATTCAACTCACTATCTCTTTTCTGATTGGCCGAAAGCGTAGAGTGAATTTTCGAAATCAGCGCATGGGACGTCACTTAGCGGCAGATTATACGATAATCATGTCAGGAACACTCAAGGTCACGGGATATCATGTCAAGGGGTAAGGGGTAGGGGTAATTATGTCAAGTTCGCGCACTTTGTGTTGTTTGCTGATTTATACATTTTTGCACGTTTAGAAATAAATTTTCAGTTCCACTCACTGTCGTGACCATTTTTTTTCGTTCAATGTATAAAAAAAAAATTATTGGATTCGGTTTTTGTGATATTCAGAAAAACCAAGATCTCAGTAAGGGTTATCAGACTTTGCTTATTCTGGATATACCAAAAACCTGATCCAATAATTGTTTATTTTACTCTTTTAGAATTTTTGGATGAGGTGTTCAATTTTTCCTTCCCTTCCCCAGCTCCTAATAAAAGCAATGAAGGCGTAAGTTCCTAAAGAAGCTATGGTGCTGTGTCGAAGGGAGAGCATTACAAAATGGTTTGATTTCATCGACTGAGCTGACTTATAAATAATAAGTTGACTTTTAAAATGTACGTCGCAAACAATTTCCTTATATTCTTTCTTTCAGTGAATCTAGTTGAATTGTTGAAGAAGACGGAGGTTGATCCTTCTAAATTGCTGATTAAAGACCTTGTGCAATCATCGATTGTCAGGGGTGATGTGATACCAGAGGTAATTTTCTTTGGTCTTTCACCTGACTCGAAGTCAATGGTCTTCACTTTAAGTCGACTTCGCGACTCCACTTTATTGAGGCAGTTTTGGGAGCAAAATGGAAGCAAAGCACTCACGATTATTGCACAAAGAGGAGGGCAAAATACTTCTATAACTGTTGCAGATGTTCTGGAGTTAGTTTGGATACCGTCTAAAGAGCAGCTTCTGTCTTTGAAACAGCGTTTTCTAAGTGGTGAAATTCCGTTTAAGGACGTAGACAAGTTGCTTGAACTATTCGACAACAAGTATGAAGATCTTGCGCAAGAAATCCGCATCATTTCTTCAAACAATGGACGACAAGATCATTTGCTCGAAGAAAAAATCGGGCAACGCATGAGGAAGATAAAGCAGTACCACAAATTACATACTTGCATGAAGGCTGCTGGAATTATGCTAAAGTTCAAGAACGCTGTCGGTCTTGAAGGTGACTTCCAAGACGTTGAAGTTTTGTACAACCAGGTATGGGTAAACTTACAGCTATAAGTACCCTACTTTGTGATGTAATAAATGGCGTCCTCGTTTGAGATATCTTAAAGTTTCATTCCCATCTCTCTTTATTATTTTTAATTACTTAGTCTATCTCATACAGCAGAAAACGTCTAAAATTTAGGTGTTGCTGAAAATGGAGAATTGTAATTCTATTAGAATGAATTTAGGAATTCATTGTGAAAGAGAGGGGTGATGGTAAGAATGGAAAGGAATAACGACAATATAATGTTTCTGTTGCACCTAGATCTCCAATTTTGAGCACAGATGTTGTACCATCTTGAGTATGGCAGCATCTGGAACCATATATATGTTGATTCACTCACAAAAGCAGAACTGACATGTCCTTGAGGATGACGATTTTAATTGGTGAAAGTATTTATCAAAGATGAACAAAGGGAAAGGAAAATAAAACGGAGGTCATGGTCTCATCCGTAATCAGAAAGTTATGGCGGTGTCTCTCTAATTTACATCATACAATGTCAAAGCAATTAAACTTTTCTGAATTCGTTACAACACTTGGTTTTTATAAGAATAAATTAGTCAGAGTAAACTCTCAAAGATCCTGCGTTATTCGCAGTTTACTGGGCAGTCATTAAATATGAGCTGTAAGATTTCTTGATGATAAAGGCGCGTTGCCAGCTTCACTTGATAATTTGACTCCACTTTCGTTTATGACTCCACATCGTGAGACAGAAATTTGAACATTCATTTAACATTTGTCACCATTTCGGTGAACATATAGACATCTTTAACAAAATATTCGTGATTCTGGGAAAGAGATAGTTTTAAAATATCATCCCTCTATTCCTTTAAAAAATTGTCTTCTCAGATGGACAGAAATTTCATACAGAGGCCGTTGCAAAGCATGAATGATGCCTTAGAGAGGACGGGCAATTTATTATCTGGAATAACAGATAACCACGCAAAATCCCTTGATGTTGTTACCCAATGTCAAGACTTCATTTTATGGTTGAAGGAGACCATCAAAGGTAAGAATTTATCTTGAAGCCTGTGGGATTACTAATGGAGGATTTGTTTCTTTTATGCATGCAATTTAAATTATGACTGAGGTCTAAAACCTCTCAGACTGATATCCCTCATAAGGGGGCAGCCTCAAACGTAATCCCTGACTTGTTATTCAAGACTTAAGGTCACTAAATAGTAATCGTGTCTTGTCTGTGATATGTTCGTATTTAGGATGTTACCTCGTCAACAATTACTTGAGAGTGACCTTAGGAAGGAGGGTGATTTAAGAGGTTGGGTTTCCCAGCTTGAGTTGATCAATCACCGTCGATCGAGAGTAACAACTCATTTCCAAGTTCTTTTTTGTGCTCGGCGACAAACTCAAGGTTTAGTATCTTTCCGAACCTTCTTGTGTGTCTTGGTTAGACTGATTAATAGAATAGGTATAATTTTTTCTAGGACTTAATTGGATGGGAAAGAATCGGAACTAACAGTGCCTTGGATCATATTGAAGTAATACTCACTGCTTCGTTTCCTCTTACTAGGGCCTCAAGAACTCAAGGTGCTTGTGGATTTGGCAATTATATCAGATGCGGAGAAAGGCCTGGAAACTGCGAGAATAACCCGCTTACATGCTAGCTGCTTAGGATTTGCTCCCCTTATTTTTGACTTGGAAACTTCCTTTGGCTTCAAAGACTTGATGGAATTGTGTAAACCAGTGTGGAATGCTGTGGATGCAGACCCCGACCTCCCTGATAAATTGGTAAAGTGGATTATTGTAAAAATTGCGGTGTTTCTCTATTGAAGAAGTGCCCATATCGAAATTCACCCTGCCTTTAACCTTAGCCGAGGTCATTGTTAGCAGATGTCGTTCCATGTGCCTTTTGCTAAAAGAGAATACTGAGCTTTTTGTGCAAGCCATTTAAATTTTGAGCATTTAGAGGAAGAAAGAAGACGGCATATTTGACTTTAGAACAACATTTTTAGCAGTAACTCCATTGGCAACAGACCCAGCTGAATAACCGTTGTGTTGTTGTGTCACTTACGTTGTAGAGCTGACGTGTCTTCTGTTGATTACAACCAAAAGTCCCCAAATGTCGTGATTTATTTTTACTAATAGCACACCTGATTGACCTGCTGGGAAAGAGTTTTGAAAAAGAATGCTTAGAGCATTCAAAACACATTTTAGTCGTCTTACATCGACAAATCAACAAGTATCAAATCATTTTCGAATTGTATTTTAACATTTACAGCTGGAAACCAGCCTTCAGATAGAATGGATAAAGGGTGTCAGAACGTCCCACGGTTCGGTGGCCGTTTCCTCCCTGCTGGAGGCTGAGACAATAAATTTACATGGCGTCTACTGTGTTGGATGTCTTAATGGAGATACTTCAACATCAACAACAATGGAGCAACTGACTCCTGAAAAGGTCATTCAACTCCGGATGACTGCTGGTGACAATGAGCATAGCAAGAGTTACACTCTTAACGATCTGAAGGATTTGCAGAGCAAACTGATGCTTATTGCGGCCAAGGCATCGAAAGGAAAAGACGAAATAGACAGATTTTCAGACGTAAGTTTCTGTTTGTTACCTGGAATACATTGATGACAAATAGGAAGACAGAAAAGTGAACAGAACGTGCGACAGACATCGAAAAACACATAGACGTACAGTTGTAATGTATAATGGAAGAAAAATAAAAAAATTTCATCATTATTTACAATGGGTAGGGGTAAAGAATGAACTCTGACCCTTAGGGCTCACTATTACCACAAAGGGAAATACGCATTCTTAGCTCTCCTTTCTTTCAAGTACATTTCATCATTTTCTGATTGTCTCAGAATGTTACCGTAGACAATGAAGGGAATGCTACAGCGTAAACTAACGTTAACTAGTGCAAACTAGTCACAACAAATATTGGGAGTTGAAGGGGTATTACTTTTGAACTAAGCTGAAGGTGTAGAAAGATTTGCTGTGACTCAACATGCTTCTAAATAATCCTCAGCATCAGTTTTATCAGTTGTTATATTTAAACTTCATAGTATAAAGTTTAACCACTCTTGCTCCGTTTACCTCTTTTTGAAGATTCTTTACGTAATAAAATATTATTTTAAATTTACTCCTTCTCAAAAGGTAATTTGCTGAGTCGTCTTACTAAGTCTATTACAGTTAAACTGTATTTCCTTACCCCAACTGAATACAATTTTTCGTGCCAACTCTTAACAGATTCTGCAATGTGTCCTGCGACTTGCTGCAGTGTACATTTCACTTTGCAAAGCAGGAGAAGTGAGTCATCTAAACTGGAGACGTGAATTTCATTGTTCACCAAGACTTACCACGAACCACTCTCTGACAGATGAGCTAATGGGTGAAAGTGAACAAATGGAACAATGTCTTCAAGACTGGAAACGTGAATTACGGGTAAAACGATTGCAATATGGCCAATTAAATCACTTCACCACAGGCCAGTTGCTTTTCCTTCGGCAAGAATTAGCAGTTGTGAAGGGAAGAGGTCCCAGAGCAGTAGATGGTGTACCTCTTGAGGTGTATAATCTCTTGGAGAGTGTGTTGCCAGGTATTGACCCAGCCACTTTGAAGTCTGCCCTTGTATTCAGTGGCATTTGTCCTCAAGAAAGTGGGCAGGATATCATCAGGTCGTACGGCGTAAGCAGTGAAAGTCACCATCGGAGTGAACAAATGAGCAGACCTGTCAATGCAAGGACACTGCCTTATTCAAACCAAGAAATGTTCCAATCACTTGTGGATAAGCTAGAGTCGCTTGGTTATTCTGAAGAAGTTGCTATAGCCGCGATGGTCTCATGCAAAGATGCCAGTGAGGCAGATCTTATCGTTTGGAGTGTGAAAAACAGCGCAAATGAGGAACTGATCACTGCTAAATACGCCGAGGCACTGAGTGATCCAACGTATGCGCGACTTTTAGAGGGTGAAAGCATCACACCCCTTGAAAAAAAAAAAGGTGAGAATTTTTTTGTGCGAATCTGGCATTGGCGTGATATTATCTCCTAAGTCGAAAGGTGAAGGGTGAATAGAAAAATTCCCAAAAAATGAACTAATAACCAGGATTAAACATTTCAAAGAACTTAAAGTGTTCTCTGACTTTAAGTGAAATATTACAATCAAACGTTGATGTAAATTTATAATAGAAATAGGACTGAGTGGAGTCCAATTCGGTCTGTAATCATACGAGTGATTAACAAAATCGGACGACCGCGAAGCGGGAGTCTGATTTGTCAATCACGAGTATGATTACAGACAGAATTGGACGACACGAAGTCCTGTTACCAATTAATCATAACCATTACAATTTCCGAAAAAAAAAATACATTTAGGACAAACATCTCCAGTAGGGACAATGTCTAAAGCAAAAAATTTGGAAATTTCCCAGTTTTTTTTTCAGGGTAAGTGGTTGTTGCTAGGGTTATTGTGATTAATTCTGTGATTGGTGGATTTAGCTGAGTGAACTAAGTATGATTGGCTACTTCAACTGCCCGATTACACTGTCCGATTACAGCAAACTGTCTGATTACAAATGTACAGAGTGATTAGTGAAATATATAGGAGCTGATGCACCAATCACATTTGAGGAAATTGTAATGGCTATGATTAATAATGGAACAATGTATCTGGAAAATGTTTCTCATGTCTTACAGGGTGTCTGTTTTTTATTAGCACGTATCTCCCTTTTATGGTTAATACGTGACTTTTTGCTGGTGACGATGCTGAATTAATTTATTGTACTTGGTTTTGTGCGTGTAACTTTGCTACTTTCATTTCATGTAGCCATTCAAAGGGGGAAGTGGCATTTGAAGAAGAAAATTCTTCAGAACCTATGGAAACTACTTTCACCTTCGACCAGACTGCAGGAGGAAAGTTTTTGAGTCTTGATGACCTAGGAAATCTTTTGCTTCATCTAGCGTCACAAGGTTATTATCACATATTTTTTACTACACGTTTTTTTTCTCCTCTGGAGTTTTCTAAAACAGAAAGGAATTTCACTTCCATGTTTCTCTTACCAGTAACTGGGCACCTAGGAACTTTTATTATTATTATTATTTTATAATTATTATTATTATTTATTGTATTAGGAACTTTCTGTTGTAACAAATTAGCTTAGGCCTTACTTTGGGACCCATCGGATAGCACATGCCTATTGTGCAACTTTTCTCATTTCGCTTCAGCGGCATGAATGTTAAAGAATGTGACTTTTGTAAAATGAAAATCATAAAGAAAAAAATCACATTCAAAACAACTTAATGTACGATTTAATGCCAATACTTATAAAATGGGTTGCTGTAGATTAAGCTTCCACTTTAACAAACCGCCCGTCAGAAACTGATTTATTGCTAATTACAGGATCTAAAGGACGAAGAAGGCTCATTCCAATGTATCTCAAACGTGGAAAGCCTAATTTTATGGTTGTTCCAAAAGGTAGGAAAACCCGTTTATTTTTCGTAAGCTGCTTCTCCTTTTCCTTTAATCTCTTTGGTAACGTGTGGTCTCTTTACGCTATGTTGGGGTATATTGACTGCTGTGGTAATCTGCATTTGTTATTAATTTTTCTTTTTCTCTGTACTGTTATTGACTTCAAGGTCATTCAATTTTTTTTTCGCGCTTCTGTAGATGACGTCATTGGAACTTTACTGTCTTTATACATGCATGACAGTTCACAGTCTCTACCCACGGCAGAGGAAGTTTTGATCTGTACTCCAGACACAACGACAGAAGAGGTGAGTTGTTGACTAAAACTCTTACAAAAAGCACGTAATGTGGTATTTTAGTCTCAAAAAATATTGGCAGTAGAGATACGTTACGGCTGACTGTGAAGTTGTAAATGATACAAACTGTAAGTAACACTAATTACCATGAAGTATTTTTGTGTTTCACTTTTCAATGAGTAAATACCATAAGGCACTTGGCGATCTTCAACACTATCCATTTTGCTCTTAGATTGAATTATTGTGGCGAAGATCCCTGGCAGACCACGATGGCAGGTTGTTTTGTCTGGTAAACGTTGACCTTCTTGATTACAGTGTTTCCCAAAAGGCTGCCGACGTCTTAAATGTTTTTCTGCATGAGCCTCAATACAGTCGAAATGAGGGTAACTAGAATTTTTATTTTTGTACAGTTGTTCTTCCCTGACTGTTAAATCTTGATCAAGTTCTTATTGCTTATAATATGCGCTTCACATTTGCCTTCATATTAGAAACGGAAGCTTTTAATTTTGAAACTTGACAGACCACTCGTCATTTTCTTGTAAACTAGTCAGAGTCTACATTCCTATTAATTTTGCCATCAATTGAGCAGTTACTATTACAAAAGAAACTAATTTCCAGTGCAGGCCAACTAATAATTATCAGCAAAAGAAGTATTTTTACATTGACGTTGATGATACAAGAAGACAATAAAGGGTATATGGTATAGGTTGCTACTTCTCCTAAATTACTGATGAAACCCCTCCTTTTTATGTCAAAATTTAACCTCTTTTAAGCGGGGTTAAAAATTCCTCTAAAAGTTAAATTACAGGGTAGCAGCTTTACATTTGTTCGCTTTCTTTTTGTCTATGATACTAACAATGTTTTTCTGTCATGTAGGTCTGTTATTTGATATTTTCTGCTTTAATCACTTATCTCTTTTAACAGTATAAGTAAATTCTTTTTCAGACGTGTCTCTTGTGGTTATCTGTAGTTCCGAAAATGAAGACAGAGCTCACATGGCTGCAGCTCTTGATCAGTACAAGCTTGGCACTATTCCCCATTGTCGTTCGTCCGGAGAGATAAGGCAGTACCTGAAAGAACAGTTCAAGCCACGTACTCAACAGCAAGGAAAGTTCAGAGGTCGAACATTGCCTTGGATTCCTGCAGCTGCATTAGACAGAGACGGGTAAGGGCCTATTTACCACACGAAAATAGAGGATGGTTTGTACAGATTGAAATTCCCCTTGGGTTTTAGAGTTCAATGGGTACCAATTATGTATTAAGTTTCGGGAATGGCAATGAACGATGTTTCTGAGATATTCGATAAGACCGATTGGAATCCAAAATCCCATATAAGAACACGGATGAATTTTTCTCTCGTATGGGATAGCTAGGCTACTTGGTGACGGTTTAAAATAAAGAATAGTTGAAGAAGTTGGTAAGTAATCAATTTATTTGTTTCTGTTGAACAGGCTAGCTGTAAGAGTTATGTCATCAGAAAGAGCTGGATCTGGGAAAAGTTTAGCTGTTTGTCGACTCAGCCAACGCCTTAGTAAACTTCAAAATAATGAAACAGTAATGGACTACCTGAGGGACATGAATACCGATATGCCACTTTGCATTAATGTACCGATTTATGGACCGATTATTCACCAAAGTTCTGTGGTCGAGTCCTTATTGCACCACACCGTTGCTCCTGATTTACCTGTATCCAGAATATTTCACTTTGATGTGCATCCCTCGGTAAACTTTTTTTTTTTTTCATTTTTTTTTTCCTATATGTATCGTCCAGAGATGCTGGTTATTGTTAGTATTAACAGGTGAATATTTCCTCAGGTCAGAACTGGTCTGGATACACTTCTGTTTAATCTGTTTATCCTTGGTGCCTTGAAGAGTTGTACTGGTCAGATCTGGAGGCGTCGATCTTCCGACCTCTATGTTATTGAAATTACTTCAGCCCTACCTCGAGGGGAAAACCAAACTGCTGAGAAACGACTTAAGACTGCAAAGGTCAATAAAATTTTGAATTTGGAAAACAAAAAAAGAAGACTTTCAAGCCGAATGCTTTTATTTGTCTCAACAGGTTGTTAGTTCCAAGAAAGTCACAGCAGAGCCTTTTTACAGGCTTCTTCCCACTATTCATTGTGGAACACCTATGCAAACATTATTTAAATTGAGAACTAATGCAACAGGTCAGAATACATAATTTATTGATTCTAACTATTACAAATTTAAATCAGCGCCTATTAGTTGTGTGCGACGGTATAAAGGTATGGGTAGATTTAAAATGCAAAGCAGGGCCCCCCTGATATACATTAATTGTGACAGCATTTCTGGTTTACTGCGAACAAGAAACTGTGGAGTGCACTACCGTTTTCTTTGTTTTCTGTCCCAACCTAGCTGGCAAGAGTTTGGACCCCTTGTTTGACGCTGCTGAATTTAAGAGCTCGTATGTTCAGCGAGCCTTTCAGTACCTCAAGTTGTGTGACGCCGGAGGCCAAAATCTGGATACTTTCTGCTTTGTACCCGGTCAAGTGATGGGTGACCATACAGAGTGCATTGAGATACTCACCAGGTAAAGAATCCTTTGATTTGTCTATGTTACAATGAAACTCCTTTTCAGTCAATTGCTTTACGTTGTACTGTTTCAATGTTTGTAGGAGAATTGCAAAGGCTCTCATAAAATAATCGAATCTCTTCTTTCAATGTGGATCAGCCCAGTTGTCTCCCAACGTATCATTAGAATAAATCTGCTGTTGGTGACATTCTTGAAATTTTTAAAGTATAAATGAACATTAGCATTTTTGTTTTTAGCTACTTTTTGGGGCTTATATGACCATGCTATTATATGAATTTATCATCAACAAAGCTAATATGCAATACCCTTGGAACACAAGTAAACCTAAAACTAAAGGAACATTAGGAGATGAGGAACATTTTAGGTGTGTGGTTATTAGATCCCTGTTTATCTGTATTGAAAAATTCAACTTATATTCTGCTGACTAAACAAATCCACCCACAGAAATTGTGGTATCGAGAACCCTTCGTGGGCGGAGATACGCCACTTTGTGAACTTTCTCAACTCTCAGCTACAAACCTGTGAAGACAGCTCGTTCTGTAACATGGAGTTGGTAGGAGACACTCTCGAGGGTTTTAGAAGC